GGACTGTTCAACCCATGGAATACATGGGCAACAGCTACTTTGTGCTAAAGAACCAAGTCATCAAAGCTGAAAGGAGAATGCTGAAGGTTAGTGGTTGTCATCGTTGCCATGATAAAGCCCTGTTGCTAAGGGAAACTGCCAACGCAGTGTCGTATGTATGACTGGCTGTACACCCCCTTAGTGTAAACAATGTGAAATGTCTCACGTGCCCAAGCATACAAAACATCGAGCCTATTGACAGGTGATACGGGTTACAGCCCCTGCGGTAAAACTGCTCTTCTGTTAAGAGAGTCCACGGCAACTGTTATATGATAGCTCGATGATAAGAAATTGTTTCTTTTTTCAGGAACTTGGATTTTGCGTCCATGTCAAGCACCCTCACAAGGTACAAGTGTGGTTACCTTTTGTGATGCATATTTACCATATAATTATGGGGCTGGTTGTGTTTCTTTCTTGTCAACCCTTTGACCCTTTAAGCCACCCCCAAGATCTACATACAAATTTTCCAGACTTGTCTCCATACATTTCTTTTAAGAATAGTTGAGAGAATTTGGTTCAAGATCAAAGCATTCTCTCTTTGGTAATCAATTTAGTAATTCTCATAACCTTTTACTCTTGATGATCTGTTAATATTGTTAGGAGAAAATTGATGTTGGTCACTTTCGGGACCTAAAGGGTTAACTCCTAATGGTGGCTAAAGATAGAAATTTGTTTTGTTAACTCCTCGTACAAAATGCAAACGTTGGGGCAGAGGTTTCATGCACCGTAAGATTTCATCCTCAGATTTAAAAGATAGATAGCCTGCTAGCAAGCAATCCAGGGCACACTGGCAGCAGGGCTGGAAAAGGAAGGAGAGCTTGCAACTACGTCTCACCTGTGGCTGTCCATCGACTGAGCTGTAAGATTTCCGCTAATCAGCGCAAAGCAGAAATAAGCGCAAAAGTAAACAAACAATGAAAAACACATGCCAAGAGTCATGACATCATTACCTATGTCATCTCCTCCAATCAGCATTTCGCATCAACTTTTTCAATGCAGATATTCAAATTCCAGAGACATAGTTGCAAGCTTTCCTCCTTTTTCTCAGAGAGCTTGCTCGCAGGCCAAAAGATAGAGCGACGTATTATCTCTCCATGACATGTTCTGGGAGTGGAAGGGTGATAATTACATCATCTTTGTCTGGTTTGGTGATACAACGGAACCTCTTGTTAGCAACCACCCAAGGTTTATTTCTGGCTGATGAGAGGTTCATACCATTAAAATCAAGCTCTATATTAGTTTGAGAATAGATTTGTCAATGAATTATTGTAAAGTGCTATGTAAATGATGCTGTAGAAGTTCTGAAATTATTATTATTATTATTATTATTATTATTATTACTATTATTATTATCATCATCATCAATGTATTTAGTTCAAAAATACTTGAAGACAACTTATTCTTTACATCATAGTAAAATCGCTTTGCAGTGCACAAAATTTAAATTCACAAACATGCTTTTCCATTTGTCTGCAGATCATTATCATGTACCTTCAAATTCTTGAAAGTCAAACCAACACGCTTTTGGCTCAGCAAGCCTGGTATGTACTAAAACATCATTTGTTGTACTTTACTAATCTGTTGAACAAATGATGGCAACCTTTATTTCCTCTGGAATTAAAGGTTGTAGCTCTGTCGGTAAACAAATAATTACAATTTACAGTTTTTACAATTGAATAGCTGTCATACTTTGTCATTATTATGCCCACTGTATCAACTCAGCCGATCAAACAAACTCTTTCTCCTTCCCTTTGTTGTTTTAATCTCTTGTCATTGTTGTTTATGCCTTTTGTCGGTGGCCTGGGCTGGAAATCTACATTATCTTTGTCCTCTCCGTTAACTGTGAGAGTACTATTCCTTATCAAGATTCAAGATTTTTAATAGGGTCTTCTTCTTTTGCGATTGCAGGAATTTCATGAATGATAGTTTTAGGACAAACATTTTTGTACGCTACCCTCCAGAGACAATAGCCTGTACATGCATTTTCCTCTCTGCAAGGCAGCTTGGGGTATGTATCAGAATTGATTATCAGGTATAAGTTAAAACTTATAAGCATCACTGCTGTGATTTGCTGTTTTGTTACAAATAATTAATTTTATAATGTTGAAATGGATTAAGGCAATTAAGGAGTAATGTTTTAAGGTGCTAGAATATAACCATCTGTGCTGTGTATGGCAGGTTTTCAAAAAGAAAAGGGGAAGCAAATAGACCATTTCAGAGCACATGATGGTACCCCACATGCATCCATGTGCATATGTATGCATAATATATGAAATGACAAAAGAGAACAATCACATGGTCTGAATTGGGAAAACAAAACGTACAAGCTAAAGAGGTCTATTCTGGGAATTCTGCATTTGTAGCACACCCAAAAATCCCCTTCCTCTTCTCTCAACGCCCACCATGCAGGCTAGACCATCCATGCCAGTTTAGTTCTGTTGTTAACATGACCTATTGAGGACTACTCTGGCCTGGGCAGGCATATTAATTTTCACTTACTCAAGTACAGTCAAACCTGTATTAAGCAGACCTCTGTTAAGTGGTCACCGTCAATTAAGTGGTCACTTACCGAAGTCCCAGAAACCATTTCCCTTAATTACTGCAAAACTGACCCATATTATGCGGTCACCTTTATTAAGTGGTCGTGGTCACCTTTTCCTAGGTCCCAACAAATTATGTTGTATTGTCTTCACCTCTATAGACCTTTGTCAAGCGGCAACCATTGCTGTGCATAAACAAAGCTTTTTCAATCTCCTGAGACAACACAGCCACTGGGTGACAAAGGTCTATTAAACGGTCACTTTAAGAAGATGTACCATAACAGTGCATAACTGTGTATGGCATCAAGTGGTCTTAACTTTTTTTCTCTTGTTCCAAGAAGAGGTGGAAAAAGTAATGGTCAATTTGTCCTGGGATAGATATTTCACCCTTTGACTACCTTCATTTTCTATAATAACTCTCACGTTTGTCAAACCTGTATTAAACAGTTAACCTGTATTAAGCGGTCAGTAAGCCATTCCCAAAGGGTTACCACTTAATACAGGTTTGTCTGTAATTGTGACTACAGTTACAAAACTTGGGGACTTGGCTTTGCATCAAAAAAGTACAATATTACGTATTTTATTTAAGTCTTGCTCAACCGTAATATCGACAACACTGATCGAGTATTACGGTAGAAGTTTTGTCATTGAAACAAATTGACCTGCATGTATTAACAATGTGGAACCTTGATGCTAACTCAGTTTCCGTTATAGATTTGCTTACCCACAAGACCGCCATGGTGGGAGTTGTTTGGGGCCAAAATAGAAGACCTTGAGGTATGTTGTTTTGACAATCATTTATGAATTGCATGCACTGTTACATGTTACATTGTAAGTATTGTACACCAAAAACCTTTTTCTTTATTTCTAAAAAACAACTAATGCTCTTCAAAAGCATAGCCAGTAGTGGTGTTGAGTTTTTGTCCAGACTCAGAAATAAGCATAATTTTACATTTGAATATCTCTGAGAGTACTGCTGAGAGTAAAAAGTTGAGGTGTTTGATAGTTCCAAGCCTCAATGTGTTCACAAATTCGTTTTCCTGATACAACACTGACGATAGCAAACCGATGTGTGAATTATTTCCTTTTAAGACCTCGATATCTGTCCATTGTCATGATCATGTCTTCAAGTTAAATTTCTTAATTGTTTCAAAAGTTATCACATTTTGTCTCTGGAGAATCTGAATGTATGCTTTATGTTATCTTAGGGTGCTTTCCATTTGTCAGAGCTGACTGGCCAGATCATTTCAGTCATAACAAGAATTTCACTTTTAATCAAAACTATCCAGTCAGATCAGTCAGATCCCAAATAGCGTGCACAAAGGAAATGGTGTTCAACAAAAACTCTTGGAAAAAAGCATGTTTATTGTCAAAACGACTTGTCCAGCTATGGCACCGTCAGCCAGTTCTGACTTTTGGAAGGTGTCCTCAGTAAAAAATTAGTTCATGTACTTTTCTGCGTTAATTGAGTAAACAACAACTTTGCTTTGTTCTACCTGATTTTTTCACAGGAAATTAGCCTGACACTGTTAAGTTTGTACCTGAGACCAAAGGTGAATATTTTGTTGAACTCTACTGTTTTCATTCAAAATTAAGGTAGACTTTCCTCAAGTCAATGCCACTTCAGTTCTGTGGAATTCACTTTGTTTAGATTTAGTTGCTACTGAGAAAAAATCCAAATAAATTAATCTATTATTAGCCTCCCAGTTCGGTTTAATGAAGCAGGACTGTTAGTTTTCCTTATTAGTCCTGTAGAGGTTTATCTGTAAGTTCGTGAGTACAGTCAAACCTCCACTAACGGCCACCTCTCTACAATTGCCACTTTCTTCTGTCCCCAAGGTAGCCATTGTAGAGAGGTTGAACTGTAATCATTTGTTGTCAGCTGGGATGGAAATTACTTTGTTCTTTTAAAAAATATATTCCTGATCAGAGAACCCGCATTTAGGCTGTTTCAAAAGAAGGCTGTTTTTAAAAATATTTTGCTGTTCTGCAAGAACCTTAAACCATTACATTCTGAAAGCGTCCAGAATCTCAAATTTCTCTTAAACATTACATCACTTCCTATTCAAACATTTATAGAAGGATCATAAAGGAGATGACCATCCAAGATAAAATGCCCTTATTGTTAAGTGAATTCCATTCCTCAGCTAAACAGCATCGAGAGGAAAGGTCTCTTGCCTTGAGACATTCAGGGGTAAACTGGGAATAAATATCTCAAATTTGTGAATGCTTTTCCAGTGTTGTGTGTCAACCAATCATATGTCTTGAAGTTGCAAGGTAATGCATAAGCGAATTGAAGTTTTTAAATTGTAATGGACAATCTTTAGCAATTCCTTGATTAGTCTATCTTCAAATTCTCGCATATGAATCACAGGTTTTTGATTGATTTTTGTTTTTGTTTTTGTTTTTCTGAGGGCCATGTGTAGATTATCGAGATATTAAGTGCTACCCTCGATAAAAATTGTTATTATTATTAGTAGTAGTGGTAGTGGTAGTGGTAGTGGTAGTGGTAGTGGTAGTGGTAGTAATGCATCAGTTTCCTTTATCACAGGCCAACCTAGACACCCTACAGAAATCTGTTGGAGAAATTCGCAAAGAATTGGAGCAGAAAAAGAAAGAAACTAAACAAGATGGTGCTGGCACCGTTGGTAACTCCACTCCTAACCTGTCTCCTGTGGGGGTAACTACAACAACTGCCAGGGACGACTCCCGGTCAGGTATGTACCGTCATCTACTTAATTAAAATTGGATATTTTTTTGACGATTCACGGGGCATTGTCACTTGAGTCGGCTACACACCCACGCGTTCTTTGTGTCGTCACGCAACGCTCCTCTTGTGGGGCGGAACGTTGCGTGACGATACAAAGAACGGCTGTGTTGCAGACTAATTCTCTCAATCTTTTAAGAGTGATCAGGATCAAAACTCTTCTTGTGATATAATTGCTTTATAAAACACTTAGGTGGCGAGAATTAATGACTTGATCACATAAGGTGAATCTAGTTGATTCTCGAACACCTCCCCACTACTTTATATGACACTTGTAGGGACAGCAAATAAAAATGTGAATTATGATAGTAGTGTTTTAATGGACATAAGCCATTTTGGAGTTGCCCAAGCCTTTGCTGAAAACTCGGAAGTGGCTTTTTTGTCACTGTTCACTCCCAGTTAATTGGCTTTTTTGCTCATTGATAAAAGCACTGCACCTGTTTCTCAGAGGTCCTGCGTTCAAATGGGTCATGGGTTTTCGCAACTGCTTTAGTTTTGTTCATAACTGCGGTGACCTTTCACGTCTTAAACCTCCCTCCTGCTGTTCAATTATGTCAAACTCATATATTATTCACTTTTATAACAGTTAATGCAGAAAGTCAAGGGGAGCTATCAGATCTTGTAGCAAACACATGTGGCCTGATCTATGGGATAAGTTGTACAATCTTGGATCCTGGCAGTTATGACATAGGATTTTTAACCTTACAGCCACCTTTCCTGTAGCCCATGTTGCAGGCGTCGAAAGGGGTAGGGGATTGGGAAAAAGAGAAAAGGAAGGAGGATTTGGGAGAGGGTGATCCTTTTTCCCTTTCGCGCTTTTCTCCATCTTCCACTTTACCTCCCCTCCCATATTTGCGCCCGCTGCGCAGGCTACCACCCACCCTAAATCAATTACTTTTAACGTGAAATCAGGTTCGAGACCTTCTTCACCAAGTAAAGTGTCGCCATCATCTACTACAAACCAAGCTGACGGGAAAAAGAAGAAAAGTTCCTCTAAGGTGGACGACGATAGGAGGACGAGAGAACGGTAAATAAACTTTGTTTTTTTCTAATTATGATGCAAGCAGTATTAACCCTTATGCCTGTGATGTTATTGTGAAAAAGAAGGTATCGTGAAACTCCTACCCTTCAGATGGGGCCAATTCATTGTAGCCGTGTAAACTAGCAACTGGATTTACGTTTTCTTGCGTTGTTTCGTTATTGTCAAGTGGTCGCCATGACATGACATGACATGTTCTCTATGCTGTCTTTCGTACATTTCTTTTAGTTTTAATCAGGAGAATTTGTTTAAATAGCGTTACGTTATTTTATTTTCATCCCCTTTGTTTGATCAGCAGTGATCTTTTTACACGGCCGAGAAGTTAGATAATGGAGGCGCTTTAAGATTTAAGTGGAGCTCTTGACTCGTTGTTGGCTGGTTATGGATTTGCATGTTTAGAGTACGTTTTTAATTTATTTTTGTCTAATTTGCAGGGAAAGGCGCCGCAGTCATTCCCCGGTCAATCGCCGCTCTCGGAGCCGTTCGGAAAGTCCAACACGTAGTCGCTCTCGGAGCCGATCGAGAAGTTACAGCATATCAATCAGTCCCGACAATCCCAGTAGGAGTGACTCTTACAGCAGCGACGAAAGCCCAGACAGGCAAAAAGTGACTGGGAAGAGTAAACGACCACGGAGCCCTGCCCGAGGAAGGGACGATGAAAAACGCTCTCGGCCCCGGAAGTACGACGGAGAGTACGTTCGGAAAAAGGGGAGAACCGACGGAAGTGTGAACAGTTATAAAAAGGACAAAGCGCGGGAACGAAGTAGGTCGCCGTTGTCTCGGAGCCGGAGTAGATCTCGTAGCAGAAGCCGAAGCCCGACAAGACTCAAACGGCATCGTGGAAAATACGAGCGGGAAACGAAGAAACGAGATGATAGACATCGCGATCGGAATGGAGTGGACTATCGTTCGTCCAGGGACAAGGGACGTGATCACGGAAGGCACCGAAGATAACGCTAGTGAAATTTTTGTAATTTTCTGTACATAAACTTCCCAGGTGGAAGAACTGAATCAAATAGCAAATTACAGCAAGTGCTTGTTTGAAAAACGCCTCATCTATATGTCCATTGTATTATGGGTGTTATGTTGCGTTTTGTAACAGTTCATTTATAAGCTTCTCAGCCGCTTACCTTGTACAAGGCGTCAGGACTATTGATCCGTTTATTAAAGAAAGCTACTGCTTTGTAAAATTCCTTTGTTGAATGAATGTATTGTGTTCAGCTTTTATCGTACCTTTTTGTAGAGTGAAACTTATCAAAGTCACTTGCTTTATAGCTTGTACACAGACGTTGTTTTATTTTTCTGTTCGCGATTCGATAATCGGCGAGCGCGCGAGAAAGAAAAGTAAACAAAGTCTATTAATTTTTTCTTCTTTCCCCACCCCTACCCCCTTCCGCTGGTGGTCAGTAAATCCCCAGCGGTTTTTATTTTTTATCATGCGCGCTCGACGGACTTGAAAGAGAAAATAGAGGGTCTGTGAACAGGCTACTTGCTTTGCCCCTTACACCTGAGAGTCCCAAAGAAAGAACCCCTTCGCGTCGTTTAAGCCCCAACCCCTGATGTATGATAACAGCAACGTGTCTTAGCGACATTTACTAAATCAAACTTGACGAATTGAAAGATATCAACTTAATCTTCACCTTCGGATTTTACGTGTTTGTGCTTGAAGTTGTTGCACTTAAGCCTCTAACCTCCTGTCCCGAAGCTCGGAATTCCCAGGGGTAAAATTCTGGTCTTTGAACGAAAATGTACCCTACGAGATAGTTTTTGTTATGTACGAAGTCCTTCATGCCGGTGACATTGGTGTAGATGGTTTTTTAAGCAAGTCAACTACGCGACGTTAGCGGCGCGAACGACTTCGCACCGCGTGTTAAAAGCCATCCCGAAAGAATGGTATTCAAACTTTTGGTGGCAGCTGTCAAAAGTGGTGAAACTGAGATCAACTGAGTGGAGGGTCATTCGTAAATTCTTCTTCTAGCCCACCCCGCCCCACTGGTGGAGGCGAGCGGTAAAAGTCCACAATAGGCCTTTTTCAAAACTACCGTCATACTCTTTGTTGTCCCTCCAAGATTTTGCATAAACATTGTTTTCAATTTCTCTACGGGCGATGTAAGTCCGAAGAGAAAGTGAAAAAAATGCCTATGCAAATTTTTGGAGGGTCAACAAAGAGTACTATGGGTTTTTTTGAAAGAGGCCTACAAGCCATTTCATTTGTCATGTGCTCAATGTCCTGGCCTTCGAACAGGCGCGAGGCTGAAGGTCACTGTTTGGTACAAACAACTTTGTTTTTAGCTTTCACCTGTCCGCTAGCATGAGAATAGCTCACTTCCAGCCTCGCTTTATTGAAAGGTCAGTGCAATGAGCTGGCCTGTTAAAAGTCCCTTCTATCTCAACAACTGTACCTTTAAACACATTATTTACTTATATACTTGACGTGTGCATTTAGTTCGTTATTGAACACATTACAATTATTTTGGTTGTGTTCCTATTCATACACCTTGTCAGTAATATTCCATTTGCATGATGGCATCATTTTAACTCTACTCCCAGAATCCATCACCGTGTTGCTTTCTTGTACAAATTAGGCTCCTGTTACTTAAACCTCTCTGGACAAACCAAATTTAAACATGAAAGAAAATACGAAATGAATTCTAGTCTTAGTAGTAAACAACGTCATCACATCTTGGGTGTCTCCTCCTAAAATTTTCTAGAATTGGTGTAGGAGTGAATGGAGCCGAAACCAACCAAACCACATTTTAGGAATCCTACTGATGAACAGTTAAGGCTAAAGATATTTTTTGCAAAAACAATTTGCTGACTTTGTAGTCTGTCCCCTTTGAATTTACATAATTTTAAAAATGATTTACCTTAATTTTTGTCAATGATAAAGAAATACGATTTTAAAATAAACTCCGCATCGCAAAACGTTAAAAATTCAATTAAGCCGCTGCCTTTAATCGAGAAAATACGATAAGCGAAAAATGAACAGTTCCTGAGAAAGCTGTTAAAGACAATTTTCCTTTCGCAGTATAGCAGTCACCGTTTTACATTTGTTTTGTGTTCATGAATTTTCATTGACTTTGACAAGTTACTGACCTAGGATCAGCTGTAAATATCCTTCATCTTGTTCATTTTCTTTGCATTACTTTCATTAACTATTCTTTTAAGAAGTCCGTAAACTAACCTGTTTTTAGAATCCTTCTTGGCCTGAGATTTAAAATGTGGCTTTCAGGCGCAATCGAGTCGCGTCACAATTGCAATTGCAATTGCGGCAATGTGCACGCGCATCAGAACGACAAGTCGCATTCTAGCGAATAATTTTTGCAAGGACCACTTGGACAAACAGCAGCAAAAAAGCTTGATCTTGGTGTAGATCAGGATTAGCAATGTAATAAACCTTGAAACTAAAGGCAAGGTTTGAAAGGCTGATTGGATAGCTATGGATGTGCAATAGCATTATTTAATTTCAGTTAGGCAAAATTAACCCTCATCAGGGGCTACTATAATTGCGAGTGTAGTTTACTGCTGTAAATTGATTAGAAAATTTCCAAAGTTGTTTTATTTCAATTTTCGTTTACATTGGGAAATTGACCCTAAGGAGAGAGACTGTAGCTAAAGTTGATGAGTGTGTGTACAATTTGAGTTCGCCGGAGGGGAGGGGGGCGTCTGTACACGGGCTAAGTTTGAGTCCATTCGTTCGAAATTCTTTTCAGAATTGTTGGATGATATTTTGTGTTAGTAAAGTCCAGTCGCTACACTTTTAACCCTTTCACGATGTGAAGTGTGAAGCATGGGATTTGTAAGCTTTTGTTCGGCTTCTTGAATTGCACGCACGTGAACACAGGGCGTCTTGAGAACCAAGGAGATGATCACTATTAAATGATAATTGTTTGGTTACAAATTCTGCTCATCAGTACTATAGGAAATGTATGGGAAACAATGTAGAACGAATGCTTGCTGTGATGTATTTAAGGATACATAGACAGCTGAACAGTCCCTGTTTACAAATGTCAGAAGGACAATTCTCCTAGTGCAGCGCTTTTGATCACGTGTTTCTGTTGCTCTGTCAGCAAAGGCCCTGCAACCCTCGACCTATTGTGATCTGGTGAAATGCGGCGGGGGGGGGGGGGGGGG